AGGGCTATAATACCTGATTAAAATTTCCTTTAAATTCTATGATAAATTATTATATTATAGACAAACCACTATAGTAAATGCAGACAATTCACTATGAACATAAGAATGGAAACAATCATGTTCAAAAAGATACGCTAAAATAATCCTGGCTCCAAATAGGGAGAAATTGCCTTATTAAAAAACATAATATGTAGCAATCTACGAAACAAAAGTCAGATGATTACAAAAAAATGCTTGCTACAAGAATTTCCTAGGAAGCATGAAAAACTAATCTATGTGTAAAATTTACCATTCCAAAATAATGCTATCTATAATGTATTCTGAATTTTCTCCTTTAGCAGGTGATGACATTCTTACCCAGAATAGTTACTCTTGGTAGCAGTCTTATTTTATATTCTTCTAATTTCCTGGAAGGTGCTTGGCCCTGTTCTTATGTGCTGTTAACTGATGTTTTATTAATTAAAAAGACTTCTAAAATTTTGAAAACATTTTTTTTCCAATTAACTTCTTAAATAGTTCTAAGAAAAATAGGAGGGCATCTCAAACTGTGTTTTAAAGAATGCAGTGAAACTTTCTATTTTATCATTACATTAAAAGAATCGGGCTACAGCTCTCACAGTAAACGTCTTAACTTTTTAAAGTTTTTACGAGGCTTATTTTTAAATTAACTTACAAGGTAACTGATGACTGCTGTTCACAAGTGGCTGAGGAAATCCTGATGTGCCCCTCCCCAAGAAGCCCATCACATACACTGACTTATAGAAAGATATTTCAATGTTAAGACATCTCCCTATCTATTCTTTTAACGTAATTATCTCCCTATCTATTCTTTTAACGTAATGTTCTATTCAGTTAACATAGAACAGGGCCAAGCACCTTCCAGAAAATTAGAGGAATATAAAATAAGACTGCTACCAAGAGTAACTATTCTGGATAAGAATGACTTCGCCTGCTAAATATGGATCACCAATTTTGAAAGAACTGAGATACTTGTCACTATCACTACGCTTAGTATACTACATTAATTTTTGATGATACAAACACTCCCATGAAAGGCCTTTAATATAAACAAAAATTATAAAATTCTACTCCCTGAAATGCTGGCAACTGCTACTTTCTGAGCATCAGCAATGTGCCAGCGGCAATGCAGTGACTGCTGCTTTCGTGGGATGCCCATATCCCCCCAAAGAGTTAGTTACCTTTACTTAGGAGGTTAATAAAGAAAAGGCCTTATGATACGATCATTAGGGGCTTTCAAATACTCTTTCACTAGTGATAAGAACAGAAATCCAGATCGCTAGGGATAGAAGAGTGGTGTGTCTGCACTGGGTATAGATAACTCTTCTAAAAACCTTGGGAGAGAGGCTGAGCGGAAGCTTATGAAAGAGGCAGGAGAGAATCAAGGACAGAAAAAAGTCATGAAGGTGGAGAACAAGAAAAGGTGGGAGGGTGAAATTTACCTGATAACAGGCTCCTTGTTCAACAACAGAACTGGGAGCATTCTGAGGCCCTCGTGGAAGCCTCTACTGCCTTCCCTGCGAAGTAGCAGGAAGGAGAGTAGCTGAGCCCAAGGGAAACAGGGTGGGTGAGGGTGGGGGAGGTGACAGCCCCTGTGGGGAATGCAGAGCCGTTGACATGGGAGGAATAAGATGTGCTGTGGACCTCAAACCAATGGATTTCCTGTCTTCTGCCCATTCATACTTGCACCGTCAAGGGAGTAAGAGAGTGTTCTGGGTAGAAGCAGGGTCCTTGTAAAAAGAGTCAACCTCAGGATTCAAGGTGGAGAAGAACAAAAACAAAGTGTGGGACTGGAGGAGCAGGGTCTGTCTGGGAGTGAGGAAGGCAAAGGGCAGGGAAGACAGAAAGGCAAGCTTCAGGATGCAAGAAGGCAGAATTCCATCAACACCCTCCCATCGTGTCTTAAGTTTGGAAGATGTTACACAAACACCACAGGTTTTCAACAGGTAAAGTCAGCTCAACTGTTCCTTTCTGCAGATTCTTGGACAATTGCAGACAGCTTTTAATTTGATGTTATGCCAAAGTCACAAGGGGCAAGAAAAAGTGGAATGGAAACATTTAAAGAAAAGCATCTCAGTGAACTTCTTCATTCTCCCTATAAGTATGGACCAACTCTCTGCCCCATCTTTTTACTCTCCTCCTCCAATATCTGACTACAGACACAGGTGCAAGCACATACAAGTACCATACCATTCTATGGTATTCTATTCCATACCATGAGGGTGGGCATCACAGAAGTCTCCCATCCTGTCTGTCACCAACCCTTCACAAAATCCCCCAACTATTCAAGGTAGTACTTCTCTAAAAGACTAACCCACACTTCAGAATAAAAATGAAAGAGTCAGAGTAGCAGCAAGACACGTACCCCATAAGGCAGCACACAGAATCTCAGAGTTAAACCTCTTCTTGTATTTACGAATCTCTGGGGTGTCACTCTGTGGCCTAGTGTTCGTTGGGTTCACATTGACCACTGAGCCCTTCCGGGTAGGATCTTGCCTTATGGCTTCTGGTCTCATTCCATCACAGGAAAATCCCACTGAAACACAGGACACTTGAAATTATTTTCTGTACACACACATACCATGCCTGCCTACCTCCCCCACTATTCCTCAAGCAAATATTCATATCCATAACTGACACTTTGTCAAGGAAAAGAAATCTGTAAGAGATGTATATGGAAATAGGAAATCGACTATGCAGCTCATTGCAAATAAGACAATGTAAGTGGGATGGGAGGTTTCTCTAGCTGAGGCCTGCACCTGTGAACAACCATCATGCCATGCCTAAGCCATCTGAAAGAGCAATGCAACATGACTGAGTCCTGTCTGTCAGCTGCTTTCTTGTTGCTACTGTACTTACCCACAGAAGTCACTGTTGTCCCACTAGAT